TGCAGGGCTGGATGAACACAGCAGGCCAAGCAGCATCATAGGAGCAGAAAGGCTGACGTTTCGGGCCTAGACCCTTCATCAAGAGAAAACTTCCCTTTGTTGTAGGCAAAAAAGTGAGTTACCTTGAGGTGTCAGAGACCAAGGCAAGGCGCCCATAATCCCATGCTGTCTTCCTCAGTATAGAAAATAACAAGATCAAGACCTGGAAAAAAAAGTAATAAAAATCACTGCAAATATAGTTAAATACAGACCAAAAAAAAAAAAAAAATCAATAAGAATAAGGAACAAAAGCAGAAGTTGTTGGAAAAGCTCTGCTGGTCTGGCAGCATCTGTGAAGAAGAAAAATCTGAGTTAACGTTTCGAGTCCGGTGACCCTTCCTCTGATTTCTCTTCACAGATGCTGCCAGACCTGCTCATCTTTTCTATCAACGTCCGTTTTTGTTTCTGTTTTACAGCATCCACATTCTTTTGCTTTTTTGCTTTCTTGATATTAGCTTGACAGTGAAAAGTGTCGTTCCGCATGTGATACAGGCAGATGGCACCATACTGAGTGCGTTAGAGTAGCAGAACAGAGCACAGAATACAGTGTCACAGCCGCAGAGGAGGTGCAGAGAGAGAGAGATCAACATTAACATTTGAGAGGTCTATTCAAAAGCCTGATAACAGAAGGCAGGAAGCTGTTCTTGAATTTATTCATACGTATGTACAAATTTTTATATCTCTGCCTGCCAGAAGAGGGTGGGAGAGAGTATAACCAGGGCTGGGAGGATTCTTTGATTATGTTGACTGCTTTCCTGAGGCAGCAGGAAGTATAAGTGGAGTTAATGAATCGAAGAGACAACAAGGTGCAGGGCTGGATGAACACAGCAGGCCAAGCAGCATCATAGGAGCAGGAAGGCTGACGTTTCGGGCCTAGACCCTTCATAATGGACTGTGCTGTGTTCACAACTCTCTGTAGTTTCTTGCAATCTTGGGAACAGCAGCTGCCATAACCATGCTGTGATGCATCCAGACAGGATGCTATCCATAAAAATCGGTAAGATTTTATGTGGACATGCCAAATTTCCTTAGCCTCCTGAGAAAGCAGAGGAGTTATTGTTTATTCTTGACTGTCATGTCGACATGGGGGGACCAGCACAGATCCTCACTCCCAGGAACTTGACGCTGTCAACCATCACCACTTCAGCACCATTGATGCAGGCAGGGATACCCCCTCCACCCCCCTTCCTGAAGGCGATGACCAGGTCCTTCATTTCGCTGACGATGATGGAGAGACTGTTGACTTTATACCATGCTGCGAAACACTCAGCCTCTTTCCTGCATTCTGTCTTGTTGTTGTTTGAGATCTGCCCTACAACGGTAGTGGCGCCAGCAAACTGGTAAATCGAGCTGGGGCGGAATTTGGCACAGTCGAAACTGTATAAGGAGTATAGTGGGGGTGGGGGGGGATGAGTACACAGCCTTGCGGGGCACCAGCGTTGAGGATTATGGTGGAGGACGTATTGTCGCCTATTCTTACTGATTGCGGTCTATGGATCAGGAAGTCAAGGATCCAGTTACAGAGGGGCGAGCTGAGACCTAGGTCTCAGAGTTTAGAGACGCGTTTGTTTGGAATTATGGTGTTGAAGAAGGAGCTGTAGTCAATAATTAGGAGCCTGATGTAAGGATCCTTGTTATCCAGATGTTCCAGGGATGAGTGTAGGGCCAGGGAGACGGTGTCTCCCCCTGTTGTGCTGGTAGGCAAACTACAAACAGATCATTAGCAACCTGGGAGGCTGGTGTTGATGTGAGCCATGACTAACCTTGCGAAGCACTTCATAATGATGGAGGTCAGATCCATCAGGCAGTAGTCATTAAGGCAGGCTGTATGATTTTTGTTTTGGCACCGAGATGATGATGATCTTCTTGAAGCAGGTGGGAACCTCACATCAGAGTAAGGGGAGGTTAAAAATATCTGCGAATACTCCCACCAGCTGGTCTGTGCAGGATCACACAGTCACTTTCTGTGGGCTCTCTCTCAAAAAGAGCCGATCTAACATCCGCGGCAGTGGCTGTAGGTACAGGTGCACCGGAGGTTATTGTGATAGATGATACCATTTCACCGACCTTCTGTTCAACATGAGCATAGAATGCATTGAGCTCATAGAGTGGGGATGTACTATAGCTCATTATGTTGTGTTGCCACAAACAAAGGGTGTCCTTGTGGTCCGATGGGCCTCAAGTTTAGTTTGGTATTGCCTCTTGGCATCTCTGATGGTCTTACAAAGGTCGCACCTGGATTTCCTGTGTAGGTCAGGGTCACCCAACTCATACATTTCAGACCTAGACTTCAGTAGGGAGTGGATCCCCCCGGCTCATCCGTGGCTTCCTGTTGGGGAACTATGACACACACTTTTCTACACGCTTACTAATGAAGTCTGTAACAGTCGTGGCATACCCATTTAGGTTGGCTGCAAGTTCCTGAGTAGGGACCAACTCTAAGCAGTCCCATAAAAGATCTTCCGTTGCCTCAGACCAACACTGCACTACTTTCTGTACTGCATTTCCAGAAAGCTAGGGGTTCAGGTACATATCACCACATGTAGACAGGGTTGTTAAGAAGGTGTTTGGCACGCTTGCCTTCGTTGCTCAGACCTTTGAGTATAGGAGTTGGGACGTCATGTTGAGGTTGTACAGGACGTTGGTGAAATCTCTTCCGGAGTAATGTGTACAGTTCTGGTCGCCCTGTTATAGGAAGCATATTATTAAATTGGAGAGGGTTCAGAAAAGATTTACCAGGATGTTGCCGGGAATGGTGGTTTGAGTTATAAGAAGGGGCTGGCTAGGCTGGGACTTCTTTCACTGCAGTGTAGAAGTTTGAGAGGTAATCTTTTGCAGATTTATAAAATCACAAGAGGCATAGATAAGGTGTATATTGAGGGCCTTTTCCCTAGAGTGGGGGAGTTCTAAACTAGGGGGCATATTTTTAAGGTAAGGCGAGAAAGTTTTAAAAAGAACATGAGGGGCAACTTTTTTACAGAGAATGGTTCATGTGTGGAATGAACTGCCAGAAGAAGTAGTAGATACAGGTACAGTTACAATGTTTAAAATATCAGACAGGTATATGAATAGGAAAGATTTGGAGGAATTTGGGCCAAGCACAGGCAGCTGGGACTAGTTTAGTTTGGGAACATGATCGGCATGGACTGGTTGGGCAGAAGGGTCTGTTTCTGTGCTGTATGACTCTATGATGCTATAAAGCCTTTGACAAGGTGCTGCAGAGAAGACTGTTTATCAGATAAGAGCCCATGGTGTTAGGGACAAGGTACTGGCATGGATAGAGGATTGGCTGTCTGGCAAAAGGCAGAGGGTGGGGATAAAGGTTTCTTTTTCAGGATTGCAGCTGGTGTCTAGTGGAGTTCCACAGGGGTCCGCGTTGGGACAACAGCTATTCACATTATATATTAATGATCTGGACAAAGGACCTGAGGGCATTGTTACTAAGTTTGCAGATGACACAAAGATAGGTGGAGGGGTAGGTAGTGTTGAGGAAGCAGGGAGACTGCAGAAGGACTTGGACAGGATAGGAGAGTGGGAAAAGAAGTGGCAGATTGAATGCAATGTGGTAAAGCGTGAGAATTTGCATCGACTATTTTCTAAACAGGGAAAGGCTTCGGAAATCAAAAGTGCACAGGAACTTGTGAGTCCTGGTTCAGGATACTCTAAAGGTTAACACGCAGGTTCAGTTGGCAGTTAGGAAGGCAAATGCAAGGTTAGCACTTATTTCAAGAAAGTAAAAATGCAAGAGCAGGGACGTACAGCTGAGGCTGTATAAAGCTCTGATCAGACCACATTTGGAATATTATGAGCAGTATTGGGCCCCATTTCTCAGAAAACATGCGCTGGTCTTGCAGTGGGCCCAAAGGAAATTTGCAAGAATGATGGTGGGGAGAAAGGGTTTGTCACATGATGAGCGGTTAAGGACTCTGTGTCTATGCCTGATGGAGTTTAGAAGGATGAGCGGGGGGGAATCAGATTGAAACTTACAGAATATTGAGAGGATTGGATAGAGTGGACATGGAGAAGCTGTTTACACCAGTACATGAGAGACTAGGACCCAAGGGCACAGCCTCAGAGTGAAAGGACAACTCTGTGGATCTGACATGAGCAGAAATTTCCTCAGCCAGGGGTTGGGGAGTCTGTGGAGCTCATTGAAACAGAGGGCCGTGGAGGCCAGGTCATTGAGTGTATTTAAGACAGAGATAGGTTCTTGGTTAGTAAGGGGATTAAGGATTACATGGAGAAGGCAGGAGAATGGGGTTGCGAAACATGATCAAATGGCCTAATTTTGCTCTCATATGTTATTGTCTGTTTGTACCATAAGACTATCTCACTCATGCACAGGAACACGTAGACACACACACACACACGCACACACACAGGAACACACAGACACACACACTCACACATAGACAAATAGACACACAGACACACAGTCAGGTAGACACACACAAGGTTACAAAGTAAAAAGGATGCTGAAAGTTACAAACTGTTGGTGAGGTTGTGAATAAGATATTGGGTTTGATAACTCATTAGGTGAAGAATGAGACTGCAGGAGTGTTTGATGAATTATGGCCAGAGATGAGAAGCTTTAAACAGAAGAAGAGAATACAATGAACAGTTCCTGTTCTCTGAAGAGGTGAAAGACAAAACTGTTTGACATTAATAGAATTCTGGAAACTGTACACAAGGAAAAACTGTTTACACAGCTTGGTGACCTGATGACTTTATTACCAGAAAAAGAGAGATACGCAGAATCGAAAAACACAGAGGGTTGCTAGGCCGTAAAATCATTCCCACTCTCTCTGTCAGAAACAGTAAACACAGGAGGATCCAGCCAGCTTGAAATGAATGGATAGCTCTCACATGAATTATCATTCACTCAAATGACAGATCAAGATCACCATGCCTAGGATACCTGTGCACATACTTTTAAATTATCTACTAATTTGAAGAATAAAGGAATTAGGGAAAAGGTCAGAGGTTGGTAGGAAATAGGTGATGGGCTGACTGGCTGCATCGGCACTGTGTCAATGCTCAGCTTCCATTTCATACATGACTGAATCAAAAGGAATTTTTTATATACTAAGGCTGAAAGACAACAAGTACAGCAATCAGAATCTTAACAGAAGCTCCACCCTCTGTACATAGACTGACACGTTCCATTGTTACATTATCTGATGTTAATGTATTGTGAATGACTTTGGTTTGCATTGCAATGCCCGAGTCACAAAGTCACTACATTCCAACAACAACCAGCATTTATATAGCACCTTTAACATCATGAAACATGTCAAGGCACTTTGCAGGATCTTTATGAATCATCATAAGTATTTCATCCAAAGATGCAATTGAAAAAAGCAAAGGTTCATCTTTACCTGAACAGTTGGTATAATTCATTTGATATCAAAGCGAGTTGTTACTCAATTAGTTTTTGTACAATGTGAATTTTAAACAAATTCATTCTCTGCAGTGTTACCATCTGCACCGAGTCTGAGCTGACCCCACGTCCTTGGTTTCAAGTTCCTTTGTGCCCTCACCTCCATCTGTACTCCTGGCATCTCTGCCTTTAGCTGCCCAGGCCCCAAGCTCTGAAATCCCTTTCCTAAACCTTGCCATCTCACTCCCTCTCCTACCTCTTGGCCACTAGCCCTCAAATGTGCCTCAGCATCCGTTTTGGTTGGATAATTGCATTCATGTAGCACCTTTGGAGGCTCTGCAACTCTAAACCATCATCCTGTGAAGCGATTCTTGTTCTGTGCCACACGGTAGCACCTTTGAAATGTCTGTCTGTCACTTACCCAGAAACTGATGAAGTAGATAAGCAGAACGGTGGGGATGCCTCCAAAACTGTTACCCTGCAGCACCGTGGACCCTCGCTCGATGTTGAAGCAGTCGGTGCTATTGAATGCAGCAGTCCTCAAACCTCCGGGAGTTCTCCTTAACACTTTGTCCATCACGGTGGTCGAGATCCAGAGAATGGGCAGCTTCCAACAATTTCATCTGGAAGGCGATCCCAAAACAAATGATCAACAAGAGGAGGAAAATGCAGCAAGTGTCTTTTTTCCTCCTCCCTTCAATCAACATTATTAACCCGTTAGTGACAATTCACCCCCAAATTATGCCAAGGATGAAGGGCTTCAGTTATGCAAGAGAGAATAGAATGTTACTCCTCCTAACAGACCAGTGGTGAAGGATAAAACAAAAGCCATTTATTGACAGAGATATGCATAACAAACACGCTAAACTCATACCAGATGTGAAACATTAACTCGGTTTCTCTCTCCACAGATCCACAAATTAACAACATAAAACTTAGAACAGCACAGCACAGGGACAGGCCCTTCGGCCCACCTTGATTTTGCCATTCAAGGTGACATCTAAACTAATCCCATCTGCCTGCACATAGTGTGTATCCCGCTATTCCCTACCTGTTCATGTGTCTGTCTAAATGCCTCTTATACTTTGCTAATTCATCTGTTTCTACCACCTCCCCTGGCAGCCCATTCCAGGCACCTACCACCCTCTGTGTAAAAAATGTGCCTTGCACATCTCCTTTAAACTTTCCCCTTCTCATCTTAAGCCTATGCCCTCCAGTATTTGACACTTCCACCCTGGGAAAAAGACTCCGACTATCCACCATATCCATGCCTCTCATAATTTTGTACTCTTCTTTCAGGTCACCCCTCAACCTCCAACACTCTAGTGAAAACAATCCAAGTTTTTCCAACGTCTCATTATTGCTAATACACTTCAATCCAAGCAACATCCTGGTAAACCTCTTTTGCATCCCCTCCAAAGCCTCTGTATCCTTCCTTTAGTGTGTTAACCAAAACTGCACAGATGCTCTGATGTGGGCTAAATAAGGTTTTATACAGTTGCAACATGACTTGTCAACTTTTATACTCAATGCTCTGACTTGTAAAGGTGAGCATGTTGTATGCCTTCTTTACCACCTTATCCACTTGTGCTGCAACTTCCAGGAAGCTGTGGACTTGTATCCCAAGCTCCCTCTGTATATCAATGCTCCTAAAGGTCCTCCCATTTACTGTTTACTTTCATCTTGCATTTGACCTCCCAAAATGCATCATCTCACACTTGTCTGGATTAAACTCCATCTGCTATTTCTCCATCTAACTTTCCAACTGATCTATATCCTGCTGTATCTTTTGACAACCTTCCGCACTATCCTGTACTCCGCCAATTTTTGTGTCATCTGCAAACTTAGTAAATCATTAACTTACTAAATATTTTCATTCAAATCATTTACACATTATTACAAACAACAGTGGTCATAGAACTGATCATAGAACATAGCTAATACACTCCAATCCAAGCAACATCCTGGTAAACCTCTTCTGAACCCTCTCCAAAGCCTCCACATCCTTCGTATAATATGGCGATCAGAATTGAACACAATACTCTAAGTGTACCCTAACCAAAGTCTTATAAAGCTGCAACATGATATCCTGACTCTTGTACTCAATTCCCTGACTAATAAAGGCAAACATGCCATACACATTCTTTACCACCTTCTACTCACATGGCCACTTTCAGGGAGCTATGGACTTGAACCCCAAGATCCCTCTGTACATCAATGCTGTTCACAGCCCTGCCATTAACTGTATACTTTTCTTTAACATTTGATCTCCCAAAGTGCAGCAACTCACACCTACTTGGATTAAACTCCATCTGCTATTTCTCCGCCCATATCTACAACTGATCTATATCCTGTTGTATCCTTTGACAACCTTCTATACTATCCACAACTCCACTGATCATTGTATCATCTGTAAACTTACTAACCCACCCATCTACATTTGTAGAACACCACTGGTCACAGACCTCCAGTCAGAAAACCTCCCCCTCCACAGCTACCCTCTGTCTTATGTGACCAAACCAATTTTATACCCAACTCACTGTCAATCCCAGATGACTTAATCCTCTCGATCAACCATAAGGGACCTTGTCAAATGTCTGAGTGAAGTCCACGTGACAAAATCCACTGCCCTGTCCTCATCAATTATCTTTGTCACTTCCTCAAAAATCTCAATCAAATTTGTCAGACAAGACCTCCCCTACACAAAGCCATGCTGACTATCTCTCAGAAGTTCATTATTTTCCAAATGTGAGTATATCCTGTCCCCAAGACTCTTCTCCAATAATTTCCCTACCACTGATGTAAGGCCCACCATCCTATAATTTCCTGCCCTTCTTAAACAAAGAAACAACAATACCATTGTCCAATCTTCTGAGGCCTGACCTGTGGCTAAGGAGGATACAAAGATCTCTGTCAGCAATCTCCTGCCTTGCCTCCCTCAGCATCCTGGGATAGATCCCATCAGGCCCTGGGGACTTATCTACTTTAATGTTTATCAAGACACCAAACACCTCCTCCTTCTTAATATCAGACATGCTTCAGAGAGTCAGCATACCCCTCCCTCATCTTACCATTATCCATGTCCTTCTCCTTGGTGGATACTGATGCAAAGTACTCATTAAGGACCTCACACACTTGCCCTTCTTCACTCATTTTTAATTAGAATTCTCGAGCATCAGAGGCTAAGGGGGGGTTCTTATAGAGGTTTATAAAACCATGAGGGGCATTGATTCGGTGAATAGTCAAGGTCTTTTCCCCAGGATAGAGCAGTCCAAAACTAGAGGGAACAGGTTTAAGTGAGGGGGAAAGATTTAAAAGGGACCTGAGGGGCAACTTTTTCACACAAAGGGTGCTGTGTGTATTAAAAATGAACTTCCAGAGAAAGTGGCGGAGGCTGGTACAATTACAACATTTAAAAGGCACCTGGATGGGTACATGTATAGAGGGATATGGGCCAAATTCAGGAAAATAGGAGTACTTGAGTTTAGGAAACCTGATCAGCATGGACGAGTTGGGCTGAAGGGTCAGTTTCCATGCTATATAACTCCATGACTCTATGACACATAAATTTCCTCCTTTGTCCTTGAGTGGATCTACCCTATCCCTGGCTACCCTCTTGCTCCTAATATACGTGTAAAATGCCTTGGGATCCTCCTTAAGTTTACTGGCCAAGGACACTACATGGTCCCTTTCAGCCCTTCTAATTTCTTCTTCAGTTTCTTTTCTACTTCCTTTATATTCCTCAAGGGCCTTGTCTGATTTCAGTTCCTAAACCTTACAAATGCTTCCTTTTTCTTTTTGATTAAATTTTCAAACTCTCTTGAGATTCCAGGCTTCCTGAATCTTGCTGTCCTTACCTTTCATCCTTACAGGAACATGCTGGTCCTGAACTCTGAACAACTGGCCTTTAAAAGACTCCCACATGTGGATTTACCTTCAGACAGCCACACCGCAATCTAGTTTCTGCCTAGTACTGTTGTAATTAGCCTTCTCCCAATGTAGCATTTTCACCCGAGGACCAGTCTTATTCTTATCTCTAATTATCCTAAAACTTACAGAATTATGATCACTGTTCCCAAAATGCCCCCTCATTGAAACTTCAATCACCTGGTCAGGCTCGTTCCCCAATACAAGGTCTAGTACTGCCCCTTCCCTAGTTGGACCATTTACATACTCTTTCAAGAAGCCTCTTGATGCAATTAACAAATTCTGCCCCATCAAGCCCCTGGCACTAAGGGAGTCCCAGTGAATATTGGGGAAGTTAAAATCACCATTACAACTACTCTGTTGTGTTTACATCTTTCCATGATCTGCTTACATATATATTCCTCTATCTCTGGCTGGCTATTGGGAGGCTTATAGTATAACGCTTTCACAGTGATCGCACCTTTCATATTCCTGAGCTATAGTATGCATAGGTCTTACTGGATGAACCCTCCAAGATGTCCTCTCTCAGTACAGCTGTGACATTCTCCTTAATCAGTAATGTAACTCCTCCCCCCTCACATTTTATATCCCTCCCTATTGTGCCTGAAATGTATAAACCCTGGGACGTTGAGCAGCCAGTCCTGTCCTTCTCTCAACCAAGTTTCTGTAATAACTATAACATCGTAGTCCCATGTACGAATCCAGGCTCTAAGCTTATCTGCCTTCCCTGTCATACACCTTGCATCAAAATAAATACATTTCAGACCATCTGTCCCACTGTGTTCATTAACCTGGCTCTGCCTGTTCTTCCTATTAGACTTATTTGGCTTAACCTCTACCTTCTCCTCAATCGCTCCACATGCTGATCTACTGCTCTGGTTCTCAATCCTGTGCCACATTAGTTTAAATTCTCCCATGTGGCACTAGCAAAATCTACCTGCCCGGACATTGGTGCAATTTCCTTGGTTTAATGAGTTTTCTATATTTCCCCCCAGGTCTCTCTCTCACACCTCTGTTAGAATTGTACACTTTCATCTTACATTGCCTGTTCAAACTTACTACTTCTAACTTCTGTGTGTTAAATTTCATTAGCTACATGTCCATCAATTCTACCAGCCTGTTTACGTCCTCCTGAAGATTGTCCTATTGTCCTCACAGTTCACAGTAATGATATTATTTCCCAGTTTTTGTGTCATCTGTAAATTGTACCCTGCACGTCCATTAAAATTGGTCATTTGTAGAGAAGCAGTGATCCTTTTACTGACTCAGAGATAGCAGGAACTGCAGATGCTGGAGAATCCGAGATAACAAGGTGCAGGGCTGGATGAACACAGCAGGCCAAGCAGCATCATAGGAGCAGAAAGGCTGACGTTTCGGGGATTTCTGATGAAGGGTCTAGGCCCGAAATGTCAGCCTTCCTGCTCCTCTGATGCTGCTTGGCCTGCTGTGTTCATCCAGCTCTACACCTTGTTATCTCTCATCCTTTTACTGACCTTTGGTGAGCTCCACAAGAAACTTTCATTCGTTCTGAGAGACCCTCACCAGCCACACGATTTGAGAACTGCAAATTTTGCAGATGTGAAACAGCACAGATGTGAAAAAGCACACATGTGAAACAGCACACATGTTGCCAGACCTGCTGAGTTCTGCAGCTAGTTCTGTTTGTAATTCACCACCACTTCTCTGTCTCCTCTCACTCAAGCTGACTTTGTATCAAAGCTCACACTGCCCCTTTTATCCCACGTGCTTCAGTTATCAACTGCCAAGTCTGTTCGTCACACTTTGGCAGACTGCTTTTGGGGAAAACCATGCGCAACGACAACGAGAAAGAAATACCACTTCAACTAAACATTGGCTTACCCGAAACAAATCCACACTGGCTTCCTCTCATTAATCCACACTCATGCAAGCAACTTAATTTTCCAGATTACCAATGTTAAAAGCTTTCCCACCAGCAAGGTTAAAACACTGGCCCAAAGCAATCAGGAGGTAATCATATAATTAAATCCAGCAAGGAGTTCAGGAGGAGGCTCTTTATCTCCTCAGCACTGGAGGGGGGGGAGCTCGGTGTTTTAAAATTAGGGGTCACTCCTCCTTCAGGACAGCAATGAGGAGAGATTGTCTCTCTCAGAGTCTGTGTGACGTTGATTTATTCACTCATGGGACGTGGGCATCGCTGGCTGGGCCAGCATTTATTGCCCATCGCTAGTTGCCCCTTGAGGAGGTGGTGGTGAGCTGCCTCCTTGAACCGCTGCAGTCCATGTGCTGTAGGGACACCCACAATGCCATTAAAGAGGAATTTCCAGGATCTTGACCCAGCGACAGTGAAGGAACGGCAATATATTTCCAAGTCAGGACGGTGAGGGGCTTGAAGGGGAACTTGCAAGCGGTGGTGTTCCCATATATCTGCTGCCCTTGTCCTTCTAGATGGAAGTGGTTAGTGAACTTCTGCTGTGCATCTTGTAGATAGTACACAGAGCGTCGGTGGTGGAGCAAGTGAATGCTTGTGGATGTGGTGCCAGTCGAGCGGGCTGTTTTGTCCTGGATGGTGTCAAACTTCTTGAATCCTGCCTGCGCCTTGTAAATGGTAGACAGGCTCTGGGGAGTCAAGTGGTGAGTTACTGATTCACTTTGTGATTTTGGAAGTCTCTGCTGCAGAGGGAGGCGGAGGCAAATATCTTTAAGTCTGAGGTGGATAGATTCTTGTGAGACGAGGGAATCAAGGGTTGTCTGGGGCAGATGGGGAGTTTGAAACACTAACAGCCCTTGATCTTTTGGAACGGCACAGCAGGACTGAGGGGCCAAACAGCCTGCTTTGGGCCCTACTTATGCATACCGAGGGAATACAGCATTGTCTGAGGTGCCATCTTCCAGATATGGCAATAAGGACACAGTCCCATCAAATGGATGCTAGAAATCACTGGGGGGGCAAATGAGAGGGAATCAAACCTCTTAGGGGAGGAACTTTGAATGGGAGTGGGCTTAGGGCAGGTCGTCCGGGCAAGGTCAAGCCAGAAATTAGATCCCAGTCTCCTTTGTCCAAGGAACTGTGGCCTCTTGATGGAGACAGTTTGAGGTTCTCACCCTCGCTCGGTGAAGAAAAACTACTTCCTAATTTCAATCTTGAACGGTCAAGATTGGGGCTTCCCTGTTCTGGATTTCCCCAAGGAAAACGATCGAATCGGATCTTTTCAAACAGCTTGATCCAATCGCTCTCAAACAGCAGTCAAACCAGAGCCGATCACGTTCAGACAACTACATTCAGAAAGATCCAGGCCTTTCGTTCGATTACCATATCTGCCCCACAACTGGAATAATTCATTCGTTGTAGAACACCGATACGTGAAAAGGAGTCCAAACAACTCCTTGCTTCAACGTTCAAATGGTTCCTTGGCACTGTTTCTATAATCGCCCTCGCTTTCGGAAAAGTACCGATCGTGGTGAGAAAGTAGAAATCAAACCACTGAAACTTCTGATGTCCCTCCCTGCAACTCTATCAGAAATAACTTCCTGGGTAATTCAATAAGGAACAGCAGGTGAATCAGAATGAGTCAGAAACTCGGTTCAATGCAAAGGCAGAACAGGACAGAGGGAGGGCAGTACCGAGGGAGAGCAGCACAGGCACTCTGCAGAACTCTGGGCATAGACTGTGTGGAACTCATTGCTGCAGAAGGCAGCTAAAGCCAAGTCACTGAGTGTATTTAAGGCCGAGTTAGATAGGTTCTTAATTAATAAGGGGATCAAGGATTATGGGGAGAAGGCAGGAGAAGGGGTTTGAGAAACATCAACCATGATTGAATGGTGGAACAGACTCAATGGGCCGGATGGCCTAATTCTGCTCGTGTGTCTTACGATCTTATGGAAGGCAGCGCAGGGGGAGGGGCAATGCGGGGGCGGGGAGGGGTGGCACAGAGAGAAGGTAGAGGCAGTGCGGCGCAGAGGGTATGCAGTGCACAGGGAGGCAGTGTCCAGGCGGCACTGCATTGAGGGAGATAACACAGTGTGGAGCTGGAGGAACACAGCAGGTCAGGCAGCATCAGAGCAGCAGGAAAGTTGACATTTCGGGTTGGGACCGTTCTTCAGACCTGCTGTGCTCCTCCAGCTCCAGGCTGTGTTATCTCCAACTCCAACATCGGCTGTGGGGGGAGGTGGATACTGACACACAGAGTGCACAGGGCTGTGGGGGGCGGGGGTGG